CGCCAGGGTGGGGGGTCCAGCGCAGATCCAAGAAATCCGCGCGGAGCGCCAAAAGTTTACGTTTGTGGTGTTTGTTCTTTTATTCTAATCGTCGCCGTCCCCGTCGTGAGGACCAACAATAGTCAAGCAGTATCGAAGCGTCCTGGCGTGCCGATCGGCCCACGAAGGATCGTCCTAAGAACCTCTCTTTGTGGTCTGCGCGAAATGTTCTCAGAACATACCTGGCCGAGGCTGTTTTGTTTACACACATCGGGCTTATGTTTTAAGAACATTGTTTGTGCTGTTCGAGCCTCTTAGGGTTCTCAGAGCATGTCGTGGTCGTCCTATAGGAATGCTGGGACGGTCGGCCCCTGCTCAAGGAGGGGACGACCAATGGAATGGAGGCGTGTTGTCAGAGGAGGAAGAGGTACCGATACTGCTACCTTTGGCTCGTTTTTTGGGTTTCCTGGATGGCCCTCGTCGCCACTGCTGGATTCGCCTTCGAGATTCTGGTAAGGACGCGCCCTGGGAGAGGTCCAGGGAGTAGCGGTATCTGTATCTGTTGGTTTCCCCATGTTGCCAAATAGTATCCAGATGTCAAACAAACATTCAAGCATGATCATGGCATGTAAAACATGCGTTAGACCTTTGGTTCAGCAGGAGAGAGACCATTCGTAATTCAATGATCATTATTTTAGAGTGACCATTGTCGGGGCATCCACAAGGCAACGATAGGGGGATGGACTGACCAAGGGGGGGACACATCGACCTGGAGTCGGCAATACGTCGCTGATAGATCGGCGATAGGCCCCCGACGGCAAATCCGCACCTTCCGAGGCGGTCTGGAGCTATCAGATCCCTGAGTGTCGACGACCAATGGGCGATTGGGGATCGAGGCGTCTCCCCTCCTCGTTGCCCCTCACGTCGTGGGGGAGGAAGATGGTCGTCGTCGTCGTCAGTGAAGCGGAAAAGAAAGGACGGCATAAGCAGAAGCCTTCGGATCTCCACGCGGGTCATCTCGGATCGGCGAAGTTTGGCCCCTCCCGGCGGCGCCTATATGGCGCCGCCCTTTGGCGCGCTCCGCGCGCCCGGGAGTGGGGCCCAGGCGCCGATTTGGGCGTTGCGTAATGGAGGGGTCATAAATGGGGGGGTGGCGAGGGTGGTCCGAAAAGGTACCCAAACGGTACCTAAACGAGCCCCCTGGGGGTCCAGAGGGGCTCGAAAGGGGCACGAAAGGGGACCGTTTCTGACCCCCCCATTTATGACCCCCCCATGAAGCCACGTCCAACCGATCCAAGAAATCCGCGAGAACCTCCGACAGTTTAGGTTTATGCCGGTGTTTATTGCGAATGCCTTACGGCCGGTGCCGCCGACCCGAATGGGGGACGACGACGACGACGACGGCGACAATGACGACAGTGATGACGACGACAACGCTGACGTGGGTCAGAGTCCTCAGGGATTCTGCCAGGGGTACTTCTTTCTTCCAAACATGGCGTCGTCGTCGTCGCTGGTGAAGGGAAAGAGAGAGAGAGAGAGAACAAAAAAAAATGTCAGAGGAGGACGAGGTACCGATACCGTCGGTATCGCTGCCCTGCCCTCGTCACCGTCGGCTGGAGTCGCCTCGAAAATCCTGGCCAGAACGCACCCTGGGAGACTTCCGGGGAGCAACGGCATCGGTGTCTTGTGTCCCCCATAGGAGGGAGATGGGAGGGTGCAACTTGGCGGCGAGCGAGGGGGGAAAGTGAGAAGGAGAAGGCCTTCTCAGAAGGTTCGGAAGTCCCCCGGCTTTCTGAGAAGTTTCTTGAGTCTTCCCCGAAGAAGAAAATACCTTCTCAGAAGGAGCGAGGGGGCTTGTGAGAAGTCCGCCGCCTTCTGAGCAGGCCTTTTCCTTCTCATTCCCCCCCCCCCTCGCTCGCCGCCGAGCAACGGAGCAGGGATGGGTGAGGGGAACCAGGAAGGGAGGAGACAGGGGGGACTTGAGGGGAGTGAGGGGAGGGAGGAATGGGAGGAGGGAGGGGGGAGAGGTCCTCCCCCCCCTTGTCTGCGGGCCAGCCACGACTCGCAGGTTTTTGCTGCTTGCGGCAGATTTCACCTTCTTGTTCCTCTCAGGTTCAGGGCTTTCGGCGAGCTCCCCTCGGGGCTGTGCGGGTCTCCTTCCGCCCTCCTGTCTCCGGTCGTCGTCCTCGTCCTCCTGCTCCTTCAGCGGCCTGGCCAGCAGGGGGAGGGGGGTTTCAGGGGCAACGAGAGGGGGGAATGGGCATCGACCCCCAATCCATTGATCCCGATTGGGGGCCGAACCATCGACCCCCAATCGCCCATTGATCGCCGATAGGGGCCCGATAGCCCCAACCTGCCCAGGAAGATGAGGATTCACTATCGGGGGCCTATCGCCGATCTATCGGCGATGTATCGCCGATTCCACGTCGATGCATCCCCCCCTATGCCAGTCCCCCCCTATCGTTGCCCCTCAGGAGGGGGGTTGGGCAGGACGGTCCAAGATGAACACTGCCTCAAGACGGTCCAAGAGGGCTCCAAGAGGACCCCCAGGACGGTCTCAAGAGGCCGTCGATGTTCTTCAGGTTTTCGCGAATGATTTTCGCGTTGCTCGGGCTTCCTCACAGCCACAGACGACCCCATAGAGCTTCCAGACGGCCCCACGACCACCCGATACCCCCGTCAAAGGGAGCCCAACATGCCCCACGATGGTTCCAGAGCCCTTCAAGACGGCCCCAAGACGGCCGAAGAGACCCACACTGCGGCCCTAACAGAGGGCCCCAAGAGGCTCCCAAGTCGGCCCAGGGACGCCCACAGAGGCCCCGCAGACGGCCCAAGAGCGCCTTACGATGACCCAAGAGGCCCCACCAACGGCCCAGAGGACCCCCCGACGCCCTCGGGAGGTCCCCAGGAGGCCCCGACGAAGCCTCTCGCAGGCGCCCCAGACGCCCTCAACAGGCCCCACAGCGCTCAACCTCTGCGCGTTCTGGCCGCGCGCCCCGCACAGCGAGAGGAGTGCCCAGAGGCCCCCCCCTTCCCCCGGACCTTGGAGGGGACACGAGCCGCCCAGAGGCCCCGAGAGGCTCTCAGGAAGGACAAACAAACGATAACATCCATTTTCGGCCACGCGCAGAGGGGGGTGGGGTGAGGGGGGAGCGCTTCTTAGAAGCACCCCTGCTTCTTAGAAGGCGCGGGCCTTCTCTATACATGTGAGGCCAGCGCCTTCTAAGAAGCAGCCCCCTTCTAAGAAGCCTTCCCCCCTCCCCCTACCCCCCTCTGCGCGCCGCTAACATTTGTTTTAAAGCATGCTTCTCCGTCGGACGTTTTCATGGTTGTCAAGTTGCGGTGAACCTCCCAGGTGCCCCGAACTCCCAGACGGCCTAGGAAAGCCTGCCAGACTGCCTCAACGCACGCGAAGGCTGCCCGCGAGGCCCCCCGAGCGACCCCGCATACTCTCCGATCGCCTCCAGGACGCCCCAGCAGGATAGTCCCCGGGAAGAGTCCAAGTCGCCCCAGGAGACTCCTAAGATGCCCTCCACGGCTCTTCCTGCTTCAGGGGCAATCAAAGACGAACACTGGAACCACCATGACACCTCTCTTCTCCCTTTCGCTGTGCCTCCTTCCTCTTCCCCTCTTGTCTTGCTACCTGGCTCTTGAAGTTTTTCCTATATGCACCGACGTTGCCCGTGTCATGTATGCCAACATGTGTTTCAAGGCGGGTGTTCGAGGCTAACTGTGGTTTCGCACAGGAATGCCAAATCATGGTTCCTGGTATGGCTTTCAAACCAGACAGACCGTTCTCTACCCTTCTAACTTGTGCTCAGGCTGCAGTTATGGCCACAACGATGTCCATAGAGCCTTCCAACGAAACCACTCTCTCGCCGTGGCGCTAGCCGCACTCTTGCATACGCAAGAGTGGTGTTCCCGCTGAAGGATTTGCAGCGTTTAAGGGATGTCATGGAGCCTCCGTCCGAAGGGACGACGCTCTCGCTGCAGCGCTGCTGCTGCGCTGCTTGCTTCAACGGATAGTGACTTCTCTTACCGCGTCTGCCGCATTGAGCCTCCATGCCACGGAACGACGTTCGTGCCTTCGCGCCGGTCGTGGCAAAAGTGGCGTTGCCCTTTCCGCCTTTGCACGTTTCAGGACCGTGACCCCTTCGGAATGCGTGTAGTTTTCGACGTCCGATTCTTAGAACACAGGGGACCCAATTCAGCGGTAAAGGACGAGAAGGTAAGGTACGGTGTCAGATGTGGCTCGATCTCTGCAATCTGCCTTACCCTCAGTCCCTGTCCCCAGTTCCCCCCCATCTCAAGCAGTGGCGAAGCGTCCTGGCTCGCTTTTCGGCCCACCAAAGAATGTTCTAAGGACCTTTTGCGGCTTGCACCAAAGGTTCTTGGACATATTTCTGGATGGGGCTGTCTTTTTTCTCAACACATCTGTTTTTTTTGCTCCAAGAGCCTTGCGTTTGTTTTTAGAACAGCTTTGGGTTCTAAGAACAGGTCGGGGTAGCCCTATAGGAATGCCCGGGCGGTCGGCCCCTGCCACAGTCGGGGCCCTGAAGAAGGAACCCTTTTGGTTGGGGAGGGGCTCCGTGTTCCTTGATTGTCTCACAGCTTGCCTCAGGTTGTCCTGAGGTCTTCCATTGGAAATCGAAGTTCAACTTCTGGGAAAGAGGGGCCTCGCTCCTTATCTAGGGTCCCTCAGGTCAACGCCCCGACTGTATAGGAATGCCGGGGCGGTCGGCCCCTGCTAAAAACCCTCCTCTGGCAGCCGCCCCCCCCGCCCCGCCCTCCCTTCCCCCCTCCCCCCTCCCCCCTCCCCCCTCTCCTCCCCTCCCTTCGGGCCCGAGGCCCACCGCCGAGGAAGAAGAAGAAGAAGACACATAAGAATACTAGTAATACGAATGCTGAGAATAATAAGGAGGAGGAGGAGGAGGAGAAGGAGGAGGAGGAGGAGGAGGCGGAGGAGGAACAGGAGGAGGAGGGAGGAACAGGAGGAGGAGGATGAGGAGGAGGAGGAGGAGGAGGACCCCCCCCGCGCGCAGGGCGAAGACTTCGCCGAGGCTGGCCCGCGGAGGTTCTGGGCCCACCTGCGGGCCAAGCGCGCCCCGCGCCGCCGCCGCCGCCGCCGCGCCCCCCAAGGGGCCCGAGGATCATTAACGGGCGAAGAACGGTATGAAAAAAACTGTTTCGCCGTCGGGGACACCTGCCCCTGGGCGGCTGGAAAGTTTATACCCCTACGGTGCCACCGTAAGGGTATGAATTTTCCAGCCGCCCAGGGGCAGGTGTCCCCGACGGCGAAAAAGTTTATGTCATACCGTTCTTCGCCCGTTAAGAGCATTGCGCCGCGGTTCGCTCCTTCCCTCGGTCGCCGCCGTCGTCGCTGTCCGTCGTCCGTCGATTTTTCTGTCTCCCGTCGTCCGTGGTCCGTCCTCCGTCGTCTCCCTTTTTCTTCTCGTCGCCCCTCCTGCCAGCAGCCGCCAGTCGTCGAGGTGAGGTTCGGACGCCCTGTGGGCCCTGTCTGGAGAGGTTCTCCATCTTCTTGGCACGACGCATTCTCTCGCTTTCTCTCTGTTTCCCCTCTCCTCTGCTCTTCTCTATTTTCCTCCTCTTGTTCGGCATCCCCTCTCGTCCTCTTTCGCTTCCCCCTAACCACCCCTCTCTTCTCCCCGCTCCCACTTCCTCCTTGTCCTGCACATCATTCCCCATGCCCCTTTTCCCTGCCCCCCCCTCTTCCTCCTGCACTGCCCGCCCCCCTCCACAGGAGCGGACTCATCGGCGGGAACAGACCAGTTGGCAAGCCCGGAGCCTCAACCAGCATGGCGCTCGGCGCAGCAAACCTCCTGGTGAGGGCCACGTAATCCCAGTACCAAAGATGCTGGTCTCCATGAGGGTCTGGCATCAGCAACGCCTCGCACGAAGTCTGTGGGGCAGTGTGACCCGCTTCGACGCTGCCGCTCTTCAGCTTCTCCCCGCGAGGCCAGCGTCGCCATCCCGCCCCCCCTTTGACAACAACAGCCCCGACGGCTGCCACAGCCACGATGACGACCTCGACGACTACACGACGACAACGACGACGACGACGACGACGACGACGACGACGACGACGACGACGACGACGACGACGACGACGACGACGACGACGACTGCGGCGGCGACCGCCGCTCGCCCGCCCGCACAGGTACGGCACGCGCCAGTCGCACCTCGCCGGCATGCTGCGCCAGCTGGAGCCCCGGCTGCGCGCCAG